AAGTTCTTCAGAGTAAAGATAGAAAAAATTCTTAACTGAAGATTTTACTATCTTTTTAGCAGGCTGAAATATACATTGCTTAAAGCTTGGGATTGCTGAAAGCATACTTCTTATATTATGTCTTTGAAAATTAATAAGTACTTGAGTTTTTCCATAGAGGAAGAATAAATATGAATCAATAGGCCTTTCTAGTTGTTAAAAATGAATAGGTGGTTTTCAGAATAATTTTTTTTGTTGTAATTTGTTAGAGATGTGTTTTCTCTTTTGATGCTTTCAGTGAGCAAAGTCAAGAAAAACGATACATTATAATTAGTAGCATCTTGGTCAGGAAGCTTTGGGTAATGGCATGTATTACTGCATCTTTAGAAGGTTTTTCCAACAGGAAACATTTTCCTTTGGCTTCTGGAGTGTTTTTGGGAGGTAGGCAACCACAAATATTCTGAGTTGTTTGTGCTTTAAGTGTATCCTGGCTTTTTGGATCTGCCTAGATACCACCTAAATGAGTGATGTCACCTTAGTCTGCCATTCTCCCAACATATTTATAAACCATTAACAAAAGACTTCAAACATATTGACCTAAAATTAAAAGGTGATTCTTAGGTTGTGCATTCTTCTCTAACCCCGTTTAACATTTTAATTAGTGACTTGAACAACTGACATACCTCTCAAATGTTCTGATGGTCATGTAGTTTAATATTTCATAATATAATATATAATAAATATATATTATATTATAATATAATTATAATAAAAAATCTGAATTGATAGGTTGAATTCGCTAGAAATAGTTTTAAAGCGGGGCTGGAGGTTTAGCTCAGCGGCATAAGCGCCTGCCTTGCAAGCAGGTGGTCGTGAGTTCGATCCCTGGTACCGATAAAAATGAAAAAGACCAAAAAAAAAAAAAAAATAGTTTTAAAGGAACAATAGAGGATTCCTGTGTGATTTCTAAAACCATGCTATAAGTACATGCAGAAATGAAATACATGACTTAATGCCAAATTACATATAAAGAATATTTTAAGGTTTTTAATGTTTATAATTCAGCACCAGTTAGTAATAAAATGTGATTGACAAAACAGTTCCTGTGATTAATTTCATTAGTGAATCATAATTGGCAGTAATAAAATTGACAAATTTCCCTTACTTTTAGAAACTCTTTTACCTTCCTTGTCCTTTTCTCTTAATCTCTCTCTCTCCTTCCCTCCTTTTATCTTTTTCACTTTCTTTCTCTTGCGTATCACTAGGGATTCAGCTGAGGACCTTGCACATGCTAGACAAGGGAAGGAAAGAATTAACTTGGAACAAAAAAGAGACAATATGTAAAAGTTCACAGTGATAGCAATCTTCAGATAATTTAAGAGACCTCTTAATGGCAAATGATAGGACTTCACTGTTGTTTTAGGGATAGACGGGAAATGAGTACATAAATGGTACAGAGAGAAAAGTTGGTGCCAATAGAAAGACCTCTGCATGTCAAAACGCCATTTAGCTATGACGCAGAGCTGTGTCTTTAATTGCCAAATTTCACAACCAACCACAGGGTCATGATGTAGAAGACATTTAAACTTTAGATAGATATACTAAATAGACTATGCTGCCCTACCAACCATGACTATTTGACTCTTTTTTTTTTTTTTTTTTTTTTCGTCTTTTTCCTTTTTACCGGTACCAGGGATCGAACTCATGACTGCCTGCTTGCAAGGCAGGCGCTTATGCCGCTGAGCTAAATCCCCAGCCCCTATTTGACTCTTTTTTAAAAAAGTTATTTGACTCTTAAATTGATTCTTTATCATGTAGCTAAGAGGAAAAAGGATTTTAGGTCTTTTGGGAAAACGTACTTACACATTTCTTTTAATTGTGTTTTATGCCCTACATACCCATCTGAGAATTTGAACTTTTTGTACCATTATTAAATTGAATTTTTCATTTGCCATTGAAAGCTTAGGAAGGAGTACAAAAAGAAGAACATCTCTTTATTTCTTTGCATTTCCAGCCATTGCAGCTTTTCTAGACATACAAAAGTGTGTGTGTGTGTGTGTGTGTGTGTGTGTGTGTGAGAGAGAGAGAGAGAGAGAGAGAGAGAGAGAGATGTTATAGGAGGAAAAAAATAAAGCGTCAGATACCCTATTATTATAAAAATGTTAATGTAGTAAAATTGAGCAAAAGTAGGTTATAAAATGGTATATCAAAGATGTGAAATTCCTATGAATAATTTTGAGTTACTTTGAAGGGTCAGTAACTTAGTCTTGATGGTAGAAGAAATACTTTCTTGAATCATAAACGGAATTTTGTTAAGTAACCGATGAAATCAGGAGTCAGTGACAATTGAGGGAATATTTGAATAAAAGTTCTGACCTATCACATCAGTCTTTAGAGTCTTTTAAAACACAGTGAGTGTTTTAAAAAGTTAGGACAGTAAAAGGCATTACTATTTATGTCTCTCAAAATATTCCCCCTTTAGACACACTCTTCCCATCATTCTTGCCACTTTCTGAAGCAGTTCTGGAAGCCCTCTTTCTTGAGTATCTTTTTACAAGATGTGATAAAAGGTATAGTGATGCCTGCCATCCAATTTAATGACAAGTTCTTAAAAATATTACAGTGTATTCTTGTCCACCTTATTTATCAGCCATGACAGTCTGTGACTTCTGAGCTTTTCCCCAAAGTCAAAATGACCATAAAAGTTAAACATTTTAAATCAGTTCAGTTAACAACAGTGCAACTAAAGACATGAAAGAAGACTTCCAGAATTGCTTCAGAAACTGGCAAGAATGATGCAGTAAGTGTTCAGTGGTGGCGAGCATGTTTTAAAGAGAATTAATGGCAGTGTGCCTTTCCCCATCTTTTAGGGTGACATTCCCTTTCATGAAACATGTAGTGTGTATGTAGAGGCCTGCACATGTAGTTTAGTGGCAGAGCACTCACCTGTTAGCTCATTGAAGGCCCTGGGTCTTACTCCCAGTACCAGTAGAAGCAAAAAGTGTAGACTTAGAATCTGACTAAAGTTAAAGTACAGACAGGAGACCTTCAGCAACTTTTCTCCCTTATCTGCCTCTCAATTTCCACATATATCTAGTAGGATATCAATAATAGTACTTCCCTTACAGGTTTACTCTGAGAATGAGCTTATATTAAAAATGCTTAGCTCATTATGTGTCACAAATCTGCTAATTTTAAAAAATTCTTGGAGTGTTGCCTCATAGCTAGTAAATGCTGTGTAAAGTTTCATGATTGTTACTTAATGTGGCTGTATAAATACTTTTCTACTTAGCCTGAAAGCTGCAATCTTGCCATACATATATATCTCAATAATAATTTTGTGTTTTATTGGCTTAGCTATACATTAATTTTGGGAGTATCCTTAGAAAGTTTTTGCTTTGAAATCACTGAAGGCAATAGTCTTATTCAGAAATCTTCTTTAATAAGATATAACTTTGATTATTCTGGGTAAGCTGGTTAAGAATCCATCAGAATACTTGGAATATAGTGATTAAGTATCATCCTCACATATAAGGTATTAAAATTGTGGAAAACATTGCTTATATCTTATTTTCTTGCTCTATATAAGTGAATGGGTTCATTTCTTCTCTTCTCCTTTTGCCACTCCTGTACATCTTGTCTCTTCTGATAATGTGAGTGCTTTGACAGTTTGATCATAACATAACCAAAATAGGTTATCACTTTTTATATGTGACATAGTTGGCTTGGTTGCCTTGCAGAGTTGATGGAAAATAATCTTTATTCACTGTGCTTGATATCTAATAAAGTCCTATAACTTTAATAAATAAGTGAGTCTTCTCCTTGAGGTCTTTAGCATTTTTGTGCCTCCTGGTTTATTAATCATGTTATAAAAATGCTATAAACATACATTTATAAATATAAGAGATTGTGCCATGTAACTAAGAGAAACACAGTCTAGTGATGGTGGTGGTACTATTTCATTGTTTCTGTTTATGACCATCAAAAATTTTGTGTCTGTCAGAGTTATCTCAATGGGGATAACTATGGGGCTGTTTCTATAGTTTTGGCCCATGCTGTGTTCCTATATATCAACTTTGCCTCTTGTGCTGTTTTCATCTACATTAGCCCTTCTGTGTGGTATCCCCTCATTGGAGTCCCTCATTTACTGCATTCTCTTGCTATATCTTTCTGTCTATTGCTTTTCTGTTGCTTAGATTTTTAGGGGGTTTTCTTTGCTGTGTGGTATGAAGGCTGAATGATCATGAATCTTGGCACTAGATCCCAGTTCCCTCTTCAGCTTGAGATACAGGTTACTTATACATCTGGTATATCTTAATGCTTAAGAGTAGGACAGAACAAGATCTAAGTGTACCCAAAGATCAAAACTTGACTTTATTGGAACCAGTAGCAATACTCATGTCTAGAATTGTGAAACATTTCAGACGTTGGAGCTGAATTGATCATGTTTTAAGATTGTTAAAACTTTTAGACCTGTATCTGACCTCTTACATACCCAATTAATTGCATAGAGCAAGTTTCTATCATGAAGAACATGATACATAATGAAAAGTATAATTATGCTTTGTTTTGCAAACTCCTAAATAATAAGTGACATTTTCATTAACTTTTTTCTTTATGGAGATGGAACATAGATTGTAGAGATGCTGAGTAATTCCAGATCACATAATCAGCATCCATGAGAACCACAAATAGGCATCAGTACTCCCAGCTGTACTACTGCTACCAAATAGACATTTGCTTTTAAGCTATTATAACTTGTGGCTACCATAGGAAGATTTTTTTTAATGGTCACTGAATTTATGTTTAGTTGTATGTGTTTGGAACTTTAATTCCACATGTGCTTGAATTCTCACAAGTAGAGAATTGTCATTCTGATTTTCTAGTCTTCTTTCTTCTGTTACTAAATATAAAGGTATTTTGTGAGCTGCATGCTATGCCCTATCTCTTCCTACTGATCTGTAAGCTTTTCCATTGGCTTTCTTTCTGTTTCCTGCTGCTTTCTTGCTTCATAATTGAAGGGAGGATTCAGACCCATCCAGGTAACAAACTACTGGTTCTGCATGGTCTCTTTATTACTCTGTCCTCTTATATTATTACAATGAGATGAGATGGATTTTGATCCTGAATAAATATACTTTCATATTGGAAATATGCTATTGGTATGTTGTTTCAAGGCTTTGCATTGAGGGCCATAAATGAGTAGGGATACTAGTTTCCATTTGAGAGATTTTGAGCTCTGCTTATTCGAGACAATTCTTAGGCCTGTCTAGAATTTACTTTTCCTGAAAATTGTGCTAGAAAGGAAGACTAGAGTTGGTTTAGGATAGGGTTGTACAACATTTTTGAAAAAGAAACCTTAGTCTAGCACATACCAACTCTACAGGTGGTTTTTATTTAGCCTGATGGACTGGGATAAATTTTTGGTTGTTTTGCAGGATTTGGGGAGTAGCTCAGTGATAGAATAGTTGTCTAGCGTGCATGAGGCCCTGGGTTCAGTCCCTGTCACTAGGAAAGAAAGAAAGGAAAAACAAAGGGAGGAGTCAGACCAAGAGGAATGAAGGAATTTTTATGTTCAGATAGATTTCTTATTTTTTTACACATTTTATGAATGATTTGAGTAGTAGTTTTTTCAGTGTCTAATTTTAATTTTTAATGAGTTGATAATGAGCCACTACTTCTTTATAAAAGAGTTCATGCAGCAGAACAACTTTTAAAGAAAACATTATGTACTGCATTTGTTATGTTTAGTGTATATTTTAAATTAATAATTATGATGTAGGACTTGAATTTTAAAATAACTGAGGCTTAAAAGTTGAGAGCACCCTACTGTTTTTAGATGTGTGGATACATCGATGAGAACTTGACGTAGTGTATGGCATATTTTATGTTCTAAACCATTAGTCAACTTACTGTCTTTTCATGTATATTTGTAATTCAGATTGATTTTATTTTTATTAGTGGAAAAAAGGAGAACACTAACCACAGTAAAACGTATATATTCCTCTTTGTTAAAAAATATTCTTTCTCCTCTTCTAGTTTTTCCAGAGGCCTCAGATACAGCCTCCTAGAGCCACCATCCCTAACAGCAGTCCATCTATTCGTCCTGGTGCACAGACTCCCACGGCCGTGTATCAGGCAAATCAGCACATCATGATGGTTAACCATCTGCCCATGCCGTACCCAGTGCCCCAGGGTCCTCAGTACTGTATACCACAGGTAAGGTATCTCTCAGGCTTGGATGGTTCAACAGTCCTGTGGGAGTTAATTTAGATTCTCATTAGAGGGAACATGGAAATTGGGTGATGGCAGTGGTTTTTGGTAATGTTTGAACTTTTAAAATTGTTTATAAGTGTAGTTATTTTATCATTTCCCATAAAACTGTAAGATATTTATATATTCCCTTGCTAAAATATTTCTACCTCTTATGCACAGCCAACTGCTCCAAAGTGGACTCAGTAATTATGCTATTCCTGTGATGCCATTTAATGTGATTGAAAGCTACCTACCTGAAATAATTTTTATAGTGTTCTGATAACTGCTTTTGCTGATTTATTATATCACTTTACGTACATCACACTTTTCTCTTCATCCTTAATTGCAACTGCATGACAAGTGTTTTGATTTTTAACCAGCCATATCCATATTTCCCTTAAATAATCTCTGTCACACAGAGTATTTTATTTATTTATTTATAAGAATCTACCTTTGTATTATGTATAAATGTCTGTACTTTCTTTTTTCTAGTACCGTCATAGTGGTCCTCCTTATGTTGGGCCTCCACAACAGTATCCAGTTCAACCACCAGGACCAAGTCCTTTTTATCCTGGACCAGGACCAGGGGACTTCCCCAGTGCATATGGTAAGTAGGAAAAGTCAGGTACTTTTTGCTAGTTTGTTTTGTTTGGTGGGATAGTTAAGCATTGAAGCTTAATGATTGGAAGGATTTTTAAAAAATAAAACCTTGAAATAGCTGTCTTAAAAACTGCATTTTTAGAGGGTGACTTACAAGGAAAGAGTATTACAAGAATAAATTTAGCTCATGACACCTTCTGAAAGAGTTGATGTTCTACTGGAAAGAGCCCATATGTCCTGACATCTGCTGCCAACTTATTATTACCTAGAATTTTATTGGCCTTTCATGATGATATAAATACACTTTATCTCCCTTCTTTGATTTTTGTTTTCTCTAATCATCTACCTTTACCTTGTATCTGAGAACTTTGCATTGGTCAGCCTTCCACTGGTGTGAAAAAATAGTCATAATTTAAAGGAAGAGAAGCTTAGTGTTTCAGAGGGCTCTGTCCATGCATGGTTGGCAAACTCAAAGCAGAAACATCATGGTGGAAGAGCTTGGTCAAGGAAAGCTGCCCACATAATGGCAGGCAGAAGCAGAGTACAAGGCCAGTGTGCCAGCTAGAGGTTTAACCTTCAAATGCACTCCCCCAGCAACCTCCAGCTGGGTCCCACTTCCTAACACTACATTCAGCTGTGACTGTCTGGGGATTAATCCAGTGATGAGTATAGCACCCCCATGATCCAGTCTCCTTTTCAGGAGACTCTTATTCCATTCAAATTGATAATAAAGTACTGTCACAGTTTTGATAATGCCACTCTTTTCCATTGAAATGTAATATTCATAAAAGCAGAGATTTTAGTTTGTATTTTTACTTCTGTATATTCAGAATAGTGATTGGCAAGCTTTTGGATTGTCTACAATGACAGTGTAACTAAAAGAATCTGTGATTTCTATACTCCAAAAAATTTTTTGAGCAAAGATCTTTCTCTTAATTTTTATTTTTTTATTGGTACATATTTGTAGTACATAATGATTACATTTCTTGTAGGGAGTTGGTATATGTACAGGACACATATTAATTATTTTTCATTATCCTCCCATCTCTTTTGCAAAAGAGATCCTTTTCCCTGTTTCCTATTGTCTATCTTTTATTTTGTCCTTTATTTATATTTTGAGTTTCTCAGAATAGAAGAGAAACCATGGGATACTTAAGTTTCTGTGTCTGTTTAATTTTGCTTAACATTATGCTTTGAAGATGCATAAAACTGTGGTAAGGTCTGTGTCTCGGAGGGATTTGGGGAATAGTGGAGATGAATTGCAGTGTGCGCTTTTCTCTTAGATCATGGAAGTGAGTGGTCTCTAGTCTTTTTGGCACCAGGCACCTGTTGTGTGTTCTTCTGTGAACAGCATGAGGGTGATGATTTCAGGGTGATTCACAGGAGCACACAAACATCCCTCAAATGAGTCACAGTAGGGTTCTGCTCCTCTGAGGTTTTAATGCTGCCTCTGACCTAAGAGGCTAATTAAGGTAATGAGAGCCATGAGGAGTGGCTATAAAAACTGATAAAGCTTTGCTTGTTTGCCTGTCTGTCTCTTGTTTGTTATGCTACCTGGTCCCTAACAGGACTTGTCCATGCTGTTGGGGTCCCCTTATATAAACTAACTTCTAACCTAGAAAATGACATTATTGAAATTATTACTATAAATCTGTGCAAGGCTGCTTTATTTCTCCTTATACTGTTGCACTGTGCATAGAAACCATAGATGCATGTACTAGTAGGGCAATGATTTGTAGATATGAACATAAAATATTATAACATTTTGGCTACCTGTATTTTCATTACATATAGATAATTTTTATTCATTTTTATTAAAAAGCAGTATGTTGATATACAGTTACATAGCTCAGGTATTACTGATGTCTATACCCTTTGACAGAGTTTTTAATTCAGTGAATTCTTTAGTTGTCCAGTAGCCAGTGAGTGGGATTTTATCATCCAAATTAAAACACTGTTTCTTTAACATTAGAAAATGATCTTAAAAATAAGTTTATTTCAGTATGAAAGCAACCAAGTTAATGATAAAAGTTAAGCTAGAGAGAATCCATAAAATTGAAACAGCCAATTTCTCTTTCTTCCCATACTCTAAAGAAATAACATTTAATAGTGTCATATTTTTCTATGATCTCAAATGGGCATATAACTGTTTATAAAATTCTAAACCTTTTTATCTTTAATCTCACAGTATAGTGACACATATGTTTCAGTTTTTAACCTCTAGGGTTTTTTTTGGTACCAGGAATTGAATTTATGACCTTGTGCTTGCCAGGCAGGTACTGTGCCAGCCCTTTCCATTTGCTGTAAAAGCTACATTGTATTCCATTTTTAAAAAGGGAATCATTGGATTATCTGATTTTCTGTTGATATGAGTTTAATGTGCTTTATCATAATGAAAAGTTCTGTCCAGTAGTTTGCTTTTTTTTTTTAAAGTTTCATCAATTATTGGTCTATCACCTATAAAATTTTGAAGCATTCTGTCCTCGTCCTACTATTCAATTGCTATAAACGTTTTCCTTCCTCTTCTTAGAATCCCTCCTTTTACCTTTCTTCTCTCAGTCTTACTTTTCCTCTCTTATTTCATCTGTCCTAACTTGGTTGCAGGTTAAGAAGTAGATGTGGAGATAGGGTCATACTTTGTTCTCATGCAGGAGTATTCTTCTGGAGCAGAAGACCATCTCCTGGCAGAGTCAAGTAAAGCAGCCCAAGACTTCACTCTCATTCTTGGCCCTCTGGAGTTTGTGAAATGCGTAGTTTCTCCCCAGCGTTATTTTGTTCTTCATTTTTAGCTTTATAGTTCAGTCTAGTTTACTACCATTTTTATTCCCAAAACTAGTATAATTCTTAAATAATTCTTGAATATTATTATCTTCATTGCAGTTCTATAACTGTGATGATGGAATTCTACTGATAAAGTATACACTTTAATATTTCTATACTACGAAGAAATTGACTGTCAATTCCATTTGATTAATGTGTTTCTATTTTCTCCTACCAGTGTTTTAAAAATATTATTATGCCTATTAATAGAAGAATACCTGAGGGAAACTATCCTCACTGACTTTCTCTTTCTCTTTCATTTTTACTACTCAGTATGCCTGAAAGAGGCTACATCTCCCACCTTACCCAACTACTTTTGTCAAACTCACTTTGATAATTTGATAAATCTTAGCTGACCTCTCAGCACCGTATGACATATTAAGTACTTCCTCTGTCTTGAACAGTTTTCTTCACTTCATCAATTCCCTTGGTCTTCTTGCTATCTGTTTTGCTACATTTTATTCCTTTCTGTGACTTCTAAAAGGATTTCTTTCTTGAGCTTCTTTTCTACCTGTACTTATTTACTGAGTTATACAGTTTCAAGATTTAGATGCTGTTCATATTCTGCCAGTTTGAAAATGGAAAACTCTAGCCCTAGCTATTCTGTGACTCCAGTTCTGTGCCTCTTCCTGTTGGGGCTTGAACTTTGTTCTTGGGGGGGAAGAGATGCTAGGCAAGCACACTACTTCTGAGATACCTCTCAGAAGCTTTGACTTTGGTTAGTCTGATTCAGATTGCTGTACTTGGGGAATAGAAATAAAAATAGATTATAGATAAAGCAAAAATGCAGGGTTTAAGAATGGCAGAAAAATACAGTTTGGAACTTGAAACTTGGTATCTGAAGTTTGTCTCTAGGATGCTTTTTCTGTTTTTCGTTTTTCCCTAACTCCAGAATATTTATCAAGCCTTAACAGCGATTGACCATAAGAAAGAATTGTTAGAATCCTTATCCCAGGATAATCAGAAATATTCTCCCTCCTGCCTGAAACCAAAGCCCTGTACAGACAGACTTAAATAAATAAGTTCCTGTTCGAGAATTACTGGGCAGGTGTTGGGCCCCCAGAATAAGAGTTTTAAAAGTAGCCCTATAGAACACTTTGTATCTTCAAAAGATCTGTGATTTCAATCTGCAAGAATTATGTAAGGTGTTCACATATTGAATGTTTATGAATCTTCAAGACTTTACATATTTTGGAAATGATTTCTTGACCAATTTAGTAGCTAGTAGGGAACTTGTGGAAGAAGATAAAAAGAAGCTGAAGATGTTTTTTTTTTGTTTTGTTTTGGTTTTTTTTTTTTGCTTTTGTTTTTACTTTTTTGAAAGGATTATCTAGATACATGTTACATTGATAGTCCTGTAATGTTTGACAAATTACTAAACACTTTCATTTTTTCTAATTCTTCAGGAACACCTTTTTACTCAAGTCAGCCAGTGTATCAGTCCGCACCTATCATAGTGCCTACACAGCAACAGCCCCCTCCAGCCAAGAGAGAAAAAAAAACTGTAAGAGATCTTTATTTTTCTTATTTTAAATTGGAAACTCTACTCACTTATCAAATACGTTTATCCAGTTCTTATTTATCTCTGTTTATAATTGACTCTGCCATTTTTTTTTTAATTGTTCCCTCTCACCCCTTATCTTGACTCAGAAGATTTTCATGGTCATATAACAAGAAACTGTACTTAATATCCACTTTGACTATTCACCGGACTGGGTTTGCTACATGACAACATACATGGCAGCTTTCGAATTAGGGTTTACAGTAGTGTGAATTTCAGTTCAGTTCTCACAACCTGACTCTCCTTTACCACCAGACCTAAATCTACTTCTAATCAAGTGTGAATTGACAGAAAAAATGTAGCACAAGAGTAAAGGAGCCAGAGTATTAGAGACAACAAAAGAAAAGAAGTTTTTTTGAAGATATAAAAGGGAAGTCAGAAGTGGCCTGGTGGCACGTACCCGTAATCCCAGCGCTTGGGACCCTGAGACAGGATCACAAATTGTCGGCTGGCCTGGGTTACAAAGCAGAGTCCTTTCCCCAAAACAAAATAACCAGAAAGCAGACTTTATAAATGTATTCTGATTGTTTTTATTAAATTATAGGGCTTTTCCTCTGACCAAGAAATGTAAGCCCAAGAGATCTAATGGTATGCACATTAGGATGAAACTCAGAATGCAGAACAGTTTGCACAGGAGTGGCTTGCTGTCACTTTCCATCCGGCACCCAAAATGGGTGAGGTTAAAATAAGAGACTCATTCACACAGATGAGTTAGATGGGAGTGGTATTATCACAATACTCCTAAATACTCTACTAAAAATCAGTGATACTCCGTACTTTATTAATTAGAAAATTCTTTTTGCCCATGTCATAATTAATAGGACATGCTAGAGTATCATGACCCTATAGACAACAAAGTCTGCTTTAGAAATATTGAATCAGCATTGTAGGACTTGACCACTTTTTATAATGCAGAAAAATGAATAAAAGTGACAATGAAAATGGAAGACAGTAATGATAGATATTACTGAAAGAGAAATTAGAATAAATGAATCAAAGCAGTGTTTAAAATGATGGCAGAAATAAATTTCCATACCTGAGAAAATAGCTGAGACAGAAATTCTTATTGAAGAACTGCTTCTTTGTAAGCTTCCAATTGAGATGGCTTCATTAGCGAGTTCTCTGAAATTCTCAAGAAGCCAAAGCCACCCTAAGTAAGATGTGTAGATAATGATAACGGGTAACTCGTGACTCAACACTGTCTCAGCATGGAATACCTAGATGCAGAGGCTGTGATCTTTAGTCTAGCACCATCCCCACTGATGTATAACAAGTGACATTGACCTCATTTTCTGGGAAATCATACACAGATAGCCTTCAAAACAAGACTGTATGCACTGTTTGTATCTTTCATTTGTTCACTTAGCAATTCATTGTGATTACCATTCCATATCAGGACCTGTAGATCTGCCTCATTGTTTTTACTGGCTGTTTGGTTTTTAATAGTAAAGAAATAGGAGAAATTTTAAACTGTTTTGTTCTTGACTGACCTTTATACTATTTTTCTGTCTTTGGTGGAAAAAAAAATGATACTCTATTGAGCATCCCTACATAAATACTTGTATATAAATTTATTTGCAAGATATACATTTCTGTTCCTAAATCCTAATATATGTGCATTGCTTATTTTGTAAGAAAACCACGTGGAGCTTTAAAACGTCATTCTACATAGTAATTTCCATGTTTTAAAACTTTTATGAATCTCATTTAAATGCTGTATATAAAATCACTTTATCAGTCTTAATAAGTACAAACTTTTTTGCCTTTTGTACTTAAGTTTGAGCCTATGATGTCCCTGTTTTACTTGTTATTCTAATTATCTCACATCAGGGCCTAAAGTTGTTTGGATGACTTCGTATGGTTCTTTGATTGCAAGCATGTCAGATAATAGTCAACAATGTTTCTTATGTTTCTTAGTTTGCACCTTTAACTGATAATAGCTAACCATCTGTACACATGCTGTTTTCCTTAAACTTTTAGATAAGAATTCGAGATCCAAACCAGGGAGGTAAAGACATAACTGACGAGATTATGTCTGGAGGTGGCAGCAGAAATCCCACTCCACCCATAGGAAGACCCACATCCACACCTACTCCTCCTCAGGTAAGAGAGTGATGAGTGATTGATTGTATGTATTGTGTGTAACCTCTACTGAACTCACCTTTTTTTTCTATAGCTACTTTCTGACTTCCCATTTCTATCATTGTATTATAGTCTTGAGTAGCTAAATGATGTAGCTAAGTGATGTTTTCTTTGCAAATTATTTTAATTCCAGATTTTTGTTGGCATTATTTCTTTGTGTTTTCTAAGTGTTGTTATATTCACAGCACAACTGCTGCCATTGTTCTTAATATAGTATTATATGACATCACAAGGAACTGCATTCCTATGGAGAGTCATCATTGAATGAATATTTAATGTCTTTAGTGTGAAACCCTTGCATTAAATACTGCATACTACATTAGTGTAAACATTAACATTGAGAATTTAAAGTATTTCTCGAGATCATTGCCTGTGTTATTCACAAAATACTTGAATGTATAACAGGTGTGCTTTCTGAACTTCTTGAAAGGAAAGTGTTTTCTGTTATTTACAAGGGTTATTGGTATATTCAGGTAGGCACCTTTCATTCTTAGTTAAGAATGTGATTATCATGGTCTTCTAGTTCACTTTCTTGTCTTTAGAAATCTAGACATTCTAGGAGGAGCTGAAGTTTAGTCGGTCTCGACAATGTTTTATTGCATTCTGGGTCACTTTAAGCTTATTAAAATTCAGAGTTGAGTGGTTTTCAAGTCTTAAAAGTTACATAAATTGAAAACCCAACATAGAAAAACATGTAAGAGCAAAATTATTAAAGAGGAGAGTGCTGCTTATTTTTCCAAAAACTCATATGACTGAATTGCGAGATGCCTCGGACCTAGTTTACAAACAAGTGGTATAGATGATCAAATATGAGATACCAGAATAACAATTTGTTGACTCATTTTCATACTACAGGTTTAAAAATCTTCTTAAATATTAAAGTCAAATAGCGAAGTGTTTCAGCACTCCTTGAAAACACTGTGAGTCAGAGTTGGCCTACTTGGTCCTTTGTTGTAATGAGTTGTTTTTTCATTTGGAAATAATAGTCTTATGCTGATGTGATATGGATTTTGATCTGTCTTTACCCAGAGAGTGTAACATATGGTCTTGTGAATACATAAGTTGTTAAGGTTGTACTAATGATTGTTAAAGAACTCTTCACTATCCTGCGTTATGCAGGGACATTCCAAGTTGCAGTATAAAGAAGGCCTTATGTGCAGTCTCTTAGCTGGAAGTCGTCCTGGGACAGGCCAAAATTTCCAAATTGAAATTATCTGTTTGGGCGCTCTGTTAGTTAGGGGTATACTGCGGTGAGAATTTGGGATTAGTCGATCGGACTTGTCACATTTTAGTCTGTGTTCTCTAACATTAATTAAAATCTTACTGTGCAGAAGTACAGTTAAGTTTCTTTGTCAATTTTTGTTTGGTCTCAACGTGTATATGTGTTTTTTACATTTAAATTCCTGTGAGGTATATATTTGTTTTTGTTTTATCCTTCTGTGCTTCTTCACAGAAATCTTTTTCTTTGTATCTTTCCCTAGTCACCATGGGCCTAAAAATGATGTGAGCGTATGTGTATTAAGTAATTCTAAAATACAATGTACATTTTCAACAGATAAAAGCCCTTATTCAATAGTTGTAATGTAGGTAGCTCTTCGTGAGAACTGTAGTATCTTCTGTGAAGCATAAGTTCATTTCACTGGTTGATTTACAAATAAATCGACACTTAAAAATGTATTATCTTTTTTTTTTGTCTTTTTCCTTTTTATCAGTACCGGGGATCGAACTCATGACTGCCTGCTTGCAAGGCAGGCGCTTATGCCGCTGAGCTAAATCCCCAGCCCCCTAAATCCCCAGCCCCCTAAAAATGTAATGTCTTTTTAAAGGCACAAAATCCATCTACGCATGAAATACCTTTTAGGGGGGTTGGTACTGGGGATTGAATTTATGACCTTTGCACTTGCCAGGCAGGCACTTATGCCACTGAGTTAAATCCTGGCCTGAAATACCTTTTTTAAGAGAGACAAATGATAGAAAAATTTCTTCTTAAGAAAAACAAGTAGTAGCTTTTGTCTGTAATCCTAGCACTCAGGAGGCTGAGGCAGGAGAATTGCTATGAATTCGAGGCTTGCCTAGATTACATAGCAAGCTGAAGGCAGCCTAATCTACAAAGTGAGACCCTATCTTTAAAAAATAAGAAAGAACAACAATAGCACAATTATTATAACAAGTGACATTGACCTCATTTTCTGGGAAATCATACACAGTGGTGCGTAGATGGAGAGACGGTGACCCTGGTTAATAGAAATGATCATTCCTAACTTTTATGTAAAATTATGTAAACTGTTGTTTCAAAAGAGATTAGAAATCTTGTTAGGCATGGTGACACATGCTTGTAATCCTAACACTTACAGGGCTGAGGGAGGAGGATCATTGCAAATTTGAGACCATTCTAGAAGGCTAAAAGTGAGCTCAAGGCCTGTCTGAACTGCATAGTGAGACCCTGTCTCAAAAAAAACAAACAAACAAAGAAAACTGAAAAATTTTAACATTGATAACTAATCCATTAATAAATACTATGGTGGCAGTCAAGGAAAACCCACTAAATTTAGCCAAGGCTACTAATTTGCATTTTCAGCATAATTCCAGATAATACTGAACTATGTTCTAGACAGAAGTCTGCTGTTAGAATGCCCCTCTGTATCAGAATTTAGTACAAAAGTGTATTGGTCTTACAAGGTACCACCTTTTAGCAAGAACCAATTGCATTTGCTGTGTATATAGCAAAGCCTTCCCTTTCTTTGAAGAGGTACTATCCTTGTATCTTTAAGGGAGACAAAGAACCATTTACATAGATGTGTGCTCGGTGGCAGTCTCAGTTATGAAAACCAGTGATTTAACAATGAGCTACATCTCCAGCCTCATGTTACTAGTATCTAACTATTCTTCCCGTGCTGTGTGTACTGTGATGAAATTCCAGAGGTAAGCAAGCGGGGTAGAATTAATTGCAGTACAGCCTCGAAAGTGACAGATCAGCTGGTATGGTGGTATATACCTATGTCCCAGCACTCTGAGAGGTAGAGGCTGAAGATTGCAAGTTTGAGCCCAACCTGGACAATTTAGTGAGTTAGAAAGACCCTGATTCAAAAAATAAAAGAAAAGAATTTTTACAAAGTTTTGTGCAGGGTTCCTAGGTTTAATCCTGTTAACTTCCTGCATACACACATAAACAAAAGTGACAGCTCACAGAGACTCATTAGTAGATGAGTCTCTACTAATTATGCTCATAGATGAGCATAACTATACATGCAGTAAAGCAGAAACAAACACCAGAGGTGACCCTTCAAACTTCAATGCCCAGATTTATAGAAGACATACGTTAGATACATAGGGAATTGTTTTTTTTTTTTTTTTGAGGAGATAAGAAGGCAGCCTTAAAACTTTATGCCTGTGGAACTGTTGCAGGATCATTCTCAAAGCAACAATACTTGAGTTTTTATGAGTTTAGTTTATATAGCATTTAGAAATAGAAAGTACAGAGCAAGTGACAGAACATTATGTAATTGGTTACATGTATTGAGTCATATATTGATAGGCAGGTTAGTCTTTAATAGATTTTTGAAACAGAGGAATTGTTTATCATAAAATAGAAACATTTCAGAAACGAGGAGAGAGGGCCCTTACTTGGTGAGCACAGTTAAAGGTGTTACGTAGGGAAATTTGAAGGGTGTCATAATGACTTTGATTTAAATAAGCAAACAAACTATTGTGATTTTTTTCTAATTTGGTTTGAGGTTTCTTTGTCATGAGTGGCTGTAAATCAAGATAGCCAATCTCCAGGGAAACCCTGACCAGGGACAGGTTAGATCTGGTATGGGGGTCAGGTGAGACCCAATAAAGAAGTGAAACTGCCCCCCCCCCAATTAAACAAAATTTATTCCATACACTCGTTAGAGGATAGAGGTCTGTCAGGAGGCCCATGGGAAATCTAGAAGCATCAGAAAGGTCAACTAATAGGTGGGAAAAGAAAAGCCAAAAAGGAAGAAGACCAGGAGACTATGCCTTTACTATTGTCCATAGATATTTTCCCTTTGACTTTTTCATGGGTCTTATAGATTGGCAGATTTAAAGGAAACACTCCTGAAGTGAGAACTTGTTTCTAATGTTAACTAGTATGGTTTATTTATTTATTTATTTATTGTAATGGAAATTGAACTCCTGACCTTGTGCCATATGTCCAGCAATCAGCATGTTTTAATATGGTCAACAGCTCAGGTATGCGTTGGATTTGGGTAAAATATGGGAAGCAAGTTGCCTATGTCAGAAACGGCCACACAGGAAAGATTTCACTAGGCAAAGCCAAAAGAATGTAAATGGATTTTGTATAACACAGCTAAAGGTGGATACTAAGACAACTATATTAAATATATTTATGACGCAAACTAAAAGTTCATTGTGGGAAACAGCATTTGGGTTATATAATTTAGGAAAATAAGTCTTTTGTCTACATTTTTGCTTTTTTGATAGATTAGAAAAAATATTTAATTTTCACTTACTGATTTATGAAGTTAAGAATTTTTATGTTTTTCCAGGTGTGGTAGCACATACCTGTAATCCTAGCACTTGGGAGGCTGAATGAAGCAGGAGAATTATTGTGAGTTCAAGGCCAGCCTGAACTGCATAGCGAAACCCTGTCTCAAAAAAACCCCCTCTTTTTTCTGTTGTTCACTCTATTTGTGTGTTATCTACTTAAGCCTTATATATAAATATCTTTTGGGGTGATATATAAGAACTCTTTGTATGTTAAAGAAACTCCCTGAGATATATCTTAGTCTGCGTTTTTGTGGCTTTGACAGAATACTATAGACTGGATAACTTAGAAACTGTGGAAATATGGAAGCTAGAGTCCCTGGCTAATGAGGGCTCTCCTGCTGCACCCCTCTGTGATAGCCGGCAGAAGGGCAAGAGAATGTGAGAACAAGGAAGGAATAAAGGATAGTGCTTCCTCTATAACAGATCTA